TAAACAGAAAGGTTAGTTTTTGTCTCCATATATCCTGGTCTACAGGTAACCATGATGGGTCAAACTTTTCTACATATAACCATGCACATTTCCGTATCAGTTTAATTTTACACAGATGGGATTAGGTGGCACATACCAACTCACATCTACTTTTTTTCATTGAAGAGCACATCCTGAGTACTTTCCATTCCAATACTGCAGATGTATCTCACTCTTCTCATTTCCAGTGATGCATACTATTCCATTATATATAAACTCACATAGATCTATAGTCATTAATTCTATTCCTTATTAATTCTTAGAAATGTTTACTTTCTATTGATTCAACACCTGCTTCTTGCAACCTACCACCTCTCACATCACTCCACATTCCATTTCCTCTTCACATAATACTATTTCGTATAGAGAAGACTATTTTCATGTCACTGTTAAATTTCAAGTCCTTGAATCCATGACAATAGCAAGATGAACATGACAAAACATTAATGGACATGAGAGTCAATATAACCAACTGAAGACTGAAAACCATAAAGGGAAAAGAGTAAAAATTTGAAAAATGCCCATGCTATTCAATTTTCATTTACTCCTGCCAATAACCACTCATTGCTTCTGACCTTGGTAATAGGAAGAAGAAGACACTTTCCAGACTGTGATGTTTAAATGGCATTAAAGGGGCTGAGTTATTCACAGGCACTGGTGACAAAAACAACCCTTGTGTTCAAGAGGCATTTACAATGGAATTGAAACCCCACAAAGTGAGGACAAGCCAGCTCTGCCCAGTATCAAAAGAACCTCAAAGCATTCCCATGTTCATTGAGACCCGGGGCATTGGTTTTGCCTGGGAAGTGGCCCAGGGAGAACAACGCAGTCTCCCAAACTGCAGATTTCAGGAGATTTGAATGTTTATTTTCTCCCAAAAGGAGCAAATCCCTCTGTGCAAATTTCCTGGGACCATCATCCATTGGAGAATTCCTTTGGGGTACCAAGAGTTAAGGGAGTAGATCCTGAGAGCTGGTCTCAAGAGTTTCATTAGGAAGTTGGTAGCTGAATGAGGAGATGTTTTCTGATCTGGGGTGTGGTTTGGGTTTCAGATACTAACGCTGCCCTGTATTCTAGTTAAGTAAACCACAAATAAATACTGGGTAAAAACTTATGGAGGGAAGACCCTAAAGTTGAGTTTCTCAGCATGAACAAGCACCTTGCTTTTTGTAATTTATTCAAATAAATAGATCAGGGCAAGTAGATGATTATAGGGGTAAACATAAACATAAACATCTGAGCTTGACTGTCCCCTTTAGAGACATCTATCACCCACACTTGGACGGGGCAGAAGACACTGACAATATTATTGCCTTGTTGCTCCCTTTGGTTACTCTCTGACCTTACTGGAGAGAGAATGAAGCAGCAGTGGATCTCCAAGAATTCAGTTTCTGTGTCAACCTGACCATCCCCACCAGGATGCTCTCTGTACCTTTGGGAGGGGTGTGAGGAGCCATTTCAACTCTGTCTTGTAAAGGGGGATTTGCCATGAAGATCTTTGGTCCAGACTAAGAGCTTTACTTCTGAAATGACCCTATTTCTACTCTGATTTCCACCATAATGAACATTCATCATAGAAAGTACAGGAAAGGTTATATAGGACCACATACATCACCTGTAACCCCTAACTCAGAAATCAGCAGCACTAGCATTTTGGTGAATAGTTTTAAAATCTTTTTTTTTCAATGCATTCATCTATGTGTATCTGTCTGTAAGCACATAAATTTATGTTTATGGAAAACCTGGGCTGGTTATTATTTTTGTAGCTGCTTTGGTTTGAAGGTATCCCTCAAAGCTCATGTGTTGAAAACTTAATCTCTGTATTTATATTTAGAGGTGAGACTTTTGAGAATTTATG